CAGTGAAACACGGGTGAATTTGAATCCCATTTAGAGTTGAATCTGACAATTGCCAACTTGAATGAATTGTGCATAAAAACCTGAATATTGAATTGGCATAATTTGCATTTGGTATCTGTTTCACTTGAAATAACTGTATTGCAAAACTGAATCTGAATAGATCCAATTTGCAAATTTGAATGTTATTACGGTTTCGAACGCAATTTGAGCTCACCTAAAAATTCAACCTTCTTTATCGTACCTTTACAAATCTCAGCATCTCTAAATTCAACACTTCAGGTTGCTCCCGAATTGCAAATTCCAGAATCTCTAAATTAATTCAGGTTCTGCAACTTCAACTTCACTATCTCCCTAATTCAAATTCAGGTCGGTCAATTTGACACAAATATCAGCCCATACCACTTCTCCTTCCTGGAATGATGAGTCTTGTTCCAATGAAAGATGACAACACAGTGCAGCTACAGGAAACAGCCCAGATACTGAACAGGCTCAGTGGGCACAGACACAGAAACGCACTGCCAGGCCTCAGTGACAAGAATATTTTAGTTACAAACATTTCTCTGTATCACTGCTCATTCTGAAAAACTGTAGGAATAGCACCAATTTTAAAGATGTTGCAACAAGGAGGCCATCAGGTCATTGGAGCTGTAACACCACGTTTCACTGGAGCATATTTTATTTTCCTTATAATTGGATGTGTGCAGCTGTCATAACTTTTCATCAGAACATCAGAATGCTTTAGATTTACCTCTCTACACTGATGTACACACTTTGGTCTCCTCAATGAAACACTTCTCAATCATTTATTATCAAAACTACAAACAGTGTATCCCTGTTTTTGTTTTTACAGAAATGCTCTTTTTTTTTTTATTCTCTCAATATAATTGAGTTTTTATTCACTCAAAAAACATACATTAAAGTAATTCAAAAATATATGTAATTTGGCATAATAAATATTAGTTCATGTTGTATACAAATTAACTATTTATGTCTAATTATGTAATTGTGTAATCTCAATACAGTCTATATGTGCAGCACCTATCAAGGCCCATACTACTGACTGTCCCCTGATAGGTGGTGTGAAAAATTAAACAATGACGAAAAGGACATGAAGAAGATGACGCAGTCATGCATATAAAATGAAGTAACCATGCATCAAGATTAGAAACTGAGGTGACGGGAGGAGGGCAGTCATGGGGACATTTTTTGATATATACTTCTTTGGTGTCTACCTGTCCTTTCTTTTGTTCTCTTCCTCTTTTTTCTATTGTATGTCTTCCACATCTTGTAAATTACGAAGACAGTTTCATCTCAATGGGTTGCACAAGGCTGGGGATGTGACTTTGGGTGGGCTGATTGAGGTTCATTACACCTCGGTCTTCCCTGAGTGGACATTCACTTCAGAGCCACGTCAACCCACCTGCCAAGGGTAAGCTTCACACAGAAAACAACAAGATTTCACGATATATGGGTCTTAATCAGATATTGAGATTTTTCTACAAGTTTAAAATGCAGCCATTAAAAGTAGGACACATTATTACAGAATGTTTCATTAATGTGGTACTGTGAATAATATGGTTGTTGATTGCGTTCTTACACTGTCTTTAAATAATAGTAACATTTTGTTTTAGCTTTGATACTCAAGGGTTCAGGCATGCCATGGCGATGGTCTTTGCTATTGATGAGATCAACAGAAACTCTAATCTGCTACCTAATGTGACTCTGGGATACAATCTTTTTGATAACTGCGGTGCACTTGTTATTGGATTTCGTGCTGCCTTGGTGCTGGCCAGTGGTCAAGAGGAGCAGTTTGTGCTTCAGGAGGACTGTTTAGGAGCCCCTCCAGTCATGGGGATTGTAGGTGATTCCTACTCAACATTTTCTATTGCCACCTCCAATGTGCTAGGTCTGTTCAGATTGCCCATGGTGAGCTCACATTTCTTCTGTGCTTTGAATAAGCTGTTTATGAATTTTTCCCCATATTAAATATTGATAAACTGTTGAAATGGTTCAAACAATTCAAAGGGGTCTATTACTGTAAATAGTCTCTTTTCAGGTGAGTCATTTTGCCACATGTTCCTGCCTGAGTGATCGGCAAAGGTTTCCATCGTTCTTCAGAACAATCCCAAGTGATGCTTTTCAGGTGAAACTATTAGTATAAGAACTGCAATATATGACAGTATAGCATACTTGAAAATAAGTCTCCCCAATAAAATATACAGTGTTTTAGGATGGGGTGAAATATGTGCTTTGTGCATGAAAAAATACAGATTGAGATGATGACACTGAATTACTTCTGATTCTAATGTGAATCGTACACTAACTCAAACAATATTCTCTATCTATTTAGGTGCGTGCTATGATTCAGATTCTAAAACACTTCGGCTGGACCTGGGTAGGCCTGCTGATCAGTGATGATGACTATGGGCTACATGTTGCTCGATCCTTCCAATCCGACATGGGTCAGTTCGGTGGAGGTTGTCTGGCTTACTCAGAGGTTTTGCCTTGGGGCAGTGACCCAGCTGAACTAAGGAGGATTGTGGATGTGATGAAGAAGTCAACAGCTCGTGTGGTCATGGTGTTTGCACATGAAATCCACATTTATCAACTAATGGAGGAGGTTGGGTTCAAAATACAGTGTAATTTATGAATCTAGGTTTTCTGTGTTTTCAATTTAACAAAAGATGGTATCCTCTCAATTATTACCTGTTTTTATTACATTTATCTACATTTGTATTCTTAGATTTAAAAGAATCCAAATTCACAAAATCAATGAATAATTGATGAATAAATGTTTCCCCCATGCTGGAGGAAAAGTAAAGAAAAATAATGTGAAGAACTCTGTATATCAGCTTTGTGGTGTAGGTGAATACCACAAAGCTGACTACATTTTTGCATTAGATGTCTGGAAAAAATATTTGTTGTTTTAAAATGTAATTCACAGGTGGTAAGGCAGAATGTGACAGGCCTGCAGTGGATGGCCAGTGAAGCCTGGACATCAGTCGATGTACTCCAGACACCAGATTTCATGCCATATCTGGGTGGCACACTGGGCATTGCCATCCGTCGAGGAGAAATGGCAGGGTTCGAGGACTTCCTCTTCAGTATACACCCTAGCCATTACCACAACAACTATGGAAATAGTATAGTGAGAGTTTAACCTTACAATCTAACCTGAGATTGCAGCAATAATATGTTGTCATATATTAAATATTTCAGTTAACAGTGAATGTTTGTCATATTTCAGGTAAATCAGTTTTGGGAAGACATATTTAAGTGCAAATTTCCACCACCTCCAGCAGGTTGGGTGGAAGCTGGGGGCGCACTATGCACTGGACAGGAGGATCTACATAGTGTGGAGAGTGAGTTGTTTGATGTTTCAAACCTAAGGCCAGAGTACAATGTGTACAAGGCTGTGTATGCTCTAGCGTATGCCCTCGATGACATGCTGCACTGTAAGCCAGGGAGAGGGCCTTTCACTGGGCACAGCTGTGCCACTTTGCAAAGACTGGAGCCATGGCAGGTGCGATATCAATTTACACCACCTGTTTATGTTTCCAAATACGGCTGAGGTACAAAATGAATGCAGTTTATCAGTAGGAATATCATTATCTTTTAAATCAAACACATTATCTAACTATGACATCAATGACAACTATTTATTCAAAACAGATCC